ATATTAAAATATATACTAGTATGTTCTGTATTTACAGTACATGCATTCGTAAATTTAGAATACTTTTTTCTGTACTATATTAAAAACTAAAATTTATTTGTTTGTAAGCTTAAAATAGATTTTTATTAACCATATATTATTAAAAATGTGTTAATAAATAAAATACAGAACCGGGAATAGTAAATTATGGTTTAGCCTAGTGACAAGTAGATTCGGAGACAAGTAAATTCGACTTACGTCGTTTTCCTGGAACCAATTACCGACGTAAGGCGAGGTATACCTGTATTCTTCAAAAATTATTAACACACTTTGCATATTAGAAACATTCTTTTAAATTGTATTGAGATTTATAAAAAGCATAATGTAAACCTAGTAATTAAAATATAAATAATCTGAAAATTATCTAATATTTAAGAAATAAAATTAAAAATTTCAATTTTATATTTAAAATAATTATAAAAATAATAAATTAATGCAAATGGTCAATTTTTTAACCATAGTAATCAGTATTGAATTTGAAACTAATGATATAATCCATAGTAAGATAGAAGTCACTAAATTACAATAAATGTGGATATATATAATAAATTTATAAACCACAGTAGAGCGTCATTTATCTGAAAGCCGGTCAACCAAAAGCATTCCAATTAGCAAATTTTAATTTCTGCTAGTGCTGTGGCACTGCAACCTTTGGCTATGTCTTGGGCTACTCCAATATTTTTTTTGTTGATGTGTGTGTTTTAGCTGGCAACATTGCACTTTTGTGTTGTGTTTTTCTGAGGACTGTGTGTCATGCTGAATCAAATGTTTTTGATACTAAATTAACTTCTAAATTATTTTTTTGTTTGTTTTTATATTTTTCAATATATTTGTTTTGTTTTTACAAAATGAAGAAATAATTTTTAATGATACAATAGCCACAATTATTATTATAAAAATTTTCATTAGGTTTAACATCGACGAAAATTTGGCATGAAGCGACAGAGAAAAATTTCAACATGGGATAGGTTAATATATTTTTTCGCACATAACCGGTTATCCAAACAACCCCAGTCCCCAATTGATTCAGATGTATTAATTCAACATAATGACTCTACCTTTTTATGCAAGTTGACTGATTCAATAGCTGATGATGAATCTTATTACCAGCTTTATAAAAGAAACCATTCTCTTGAAATAATTCTTCTTTTTCTTCAAGTAAATGTTTAACACCAAGCTGCCAGCTCTGAAACAACTTTTCAGAAATTGGTTCTGTAAAAGAAATAGAAAGTTTGAATATAAAAAATAATACTAAATAGTTATTAATGATAAATTATAAAAATCAACAATACAAATTCATTGAATTTTATTTATATCTATATTATGAAATTTATGTTCCATTAGAATTAAATATATTGATGGCTAAAAGGCTATTTCTCTATCTTTTGTTGGCCATGTTAGTGAAGTATTATATAGTTCAAATTGCTTCCCGGAACAAAGACTGAAATTGTGGGGAATCAGAATTGATTTGCAATGGCTTATTTATAGATAATTTAACAATTAGGTTTAAAGAAAAAAAAAAAGATTCTACTACAGTTAAAAGCTTAAACAATTTTCATATAACAATATCCTAATATTTGTTAAAAATAAATTTTATTAATTTATAAACTAAAATATATTTTAGTTTATTGTCTAATAAGGGGACCTTACGGTCTCGGAAATTCAGTTCGGGATGAGACTTTGCAGGTTAGTAGTATACCTCAAGGGTGTCCACCCAGAAGAATTGTAAAGCGCACAAGCCATAAGATTCTGAGAAAAAAATGCTCTAAAGTTTTAAGCGCAGTTCATATACCAATTGATTTTACACTATGCGCACAGCGAAATTTTACACAATTGATGGCACAGCGAAATGGCTGAGTCTGTAGTTAACTCACTTGCCACATGGACAATCTAGGTTCGATCCTACCTTTGGCAAACTTTTTTTTTTCTTTTTTAATTGTTTTAAAAATTGTAGCTTTTAAATAAAGTTAATGACCTAAAAATATTTTAAATTAAATCATAAATAATTTTATTTTTAAAAAGTTGAATAATTTCAAATGCATTTTTAATGGAGGTAAATTAAAATTTTAATTACTATTGTCATTAAAAAATTATTACAAAATTTAAGATATTATAAGCTGTGGAGAGATTAAAAATATTCATTTTAAATTTGAAGAATTTTTCAATTCCTTGTTATCTTCAAGGGACAATAGGTCAGAAAGTTATGTGAAAGCGTCACTTTTGCTGCTGACTTGTGAAAACTCACGGAATGATTAGCTCCCAGGTGTGAAAGTTGACAGTTATCCCACACAATGATATTGTTAGGAAGTTATGTTATGATTTAACTTGTAAGTAAACAGACGATATATAAGGGTTTACCCACCCTTATTCCTCTAGAAACTCACAAGTCAAACTAATGTGCCAGTTCATTCTTGACTTTCGCAAGATTGGAGCATTCTGTACTGCAAAATATTATTGGAATTTTTAAAATATTGTGAATTGAAAATGTCTGTTAATGAAGAAATTGCGAAAGTATCAGAAGCTGCAGATGAAATCAGTTCAAGATTCATTATACAGTAAGATGTCGAAGTTGAGGTTAAAAGATGCGGTCTTTTATTACGAAAGCTTGCTTGCAGAAAATAATTTTATTACATCGAAATCTTCAACTTCAATTTCTCATGAAACAATGTTGATGAGTGAAGAAATTTATGAATGTACTATGGAAACATTGCAAAAAAAGGATGCAGCCAGTTAAAAAAGAAGGAATATTTATCCCAATGGGTAGAAGAAATAAAAAAAGGAGGAAGTCAATTTGATAAGTACACAACAATCAATTCCTGGACACCTGATCATTTTGTTAAAGTCCGAGAGAATTATCAACAAGTGACTACTCGGAATTTACAACAGTGGGTTTTTGTTTTTATGATAATTATCATTCTGGTGCTTGTATGTAAAATAAAAAATTGACAAATAAAGACGATATTGTAAAAATTTTTTATATAAATAAAATAATTTATATATATTTTATATAATATAGTCCAGACGATATAAATCTCTCCGTAGCGTGGCGCTACGGACGGCGGGTAAGTAGTTCGGCTGCCCGATGACGTTTTACGTATTATAGGAGTTATTTTTACCGTTGTTTACGGATAATGCCACAATTTTTATAGGAATCATAACTATAGGAAACGGTTTTATAGGGGGATCTACTGTATT